TCGGTGCAGCCCGGGCGGCCGTGCGCCCCGGCGTCTTTGTGCGGGAGCCTCGCGCAACCCCTCTTCGCATGTCTTTGTGTTTCTCACCCCCCCACCCCCGCCCCCTGGCAAAAGCCTGGGTGCCCCGCGGCGGGGGTGTGGCACGACGCGGGCTCTCCGCAGCTCCGACTGCGTCTGCTGCCTGCCCGGCCCAGCCCGGCTCACCGCCCCAGCCTCCCCGCCGGCTCCCTTCCCTCCTTTCGGAACTCCCTCCTCCTCCTCCTCCTCCTCCTCGCCTCCTCCCCTCCCCTCGCCTCTCCCCGCCTGCACCCGCTCGCCTCCCCGCACCCTCTCCAAGCCCAGCCCTCGCCCCGCTGGCCAAGTCTCTCTGAGCTCCTTGGGTCACCTGCCGCCACCTCCTCCGGTCAGCCCCTCCCAGCAAACCTCCCAGTGTGTGGACTCCATCCACCTCACCTCCTTCCAAGCAGGGGGTGGCCGGATGTCTGTCTGCCCCAGCCCTGATGCCTAAAGTCCCTCAGACCCCAGCAGGTCCGCATGCGCCCCGGCCCCACACCAAAGGAAGCCCACCACCCCCGCCCCATTCCACACCCCCGCACCCAGCACCACGACACCCCTGGAGTGAGGACCTGAGGACAGCCTCTGCACCTGGGGAAGGATGAGAGAGTCACCAGCCAGCCAGCAGCCCACACCAAAACCTCCCAGGGGTGCATGACTTGGGCCAGTAGCCCTGGATCAGTAGGACTGTCCCCGGGGTGGGGATAAGAACATCGTAAGAGATGCTGCTGCGGGAATGAAGAAACCCCAGGAGGTTGTTTTCCAGGCCAGACTGCTTTGTGGAGCCCAAGGTTAGGTTGCTCAACGCTGGCGCTTGGCTGTGAGCTGTGGAGTCGAGATTGGGGGAGGAGAAGGGGGAGGGGGTTCTCAACTTAAACTTGGTGCTTCCTGCCCCTTAGCCCTCCGTTTTCAAGATGTCATTTTGACAGGCTAGAGACTCCCCCACCCCACCCTAATTTAAAGAGGGCAGCTCAACTCTTGGCTAGAGGGATGTGTCATCCTGCCAGTCAGGATGGAAAGAAAGAGACTTTAGAGGCTACCCTTGCAAGAGGCGAACCCTCTGGATGCATGCGATGAGGCAGATTTTCAATGGATTTGTAAACTTTCTCTTCCTTCCCATTTTCGCAGCTGGGATCCCCCCTCCTGACCTCCACCTTCCTCCCCACGACTGTGTGTGCTCCTCCAGTATCTTCCCCACTACTGAGACTTCCTAGGAAAGCTGTAGATGAGGCTGTTAAAAGAACTTGGGAAACTTTTGGCTAAATGTCCCCACCGCCCATTTTATATATATATATATATATATATATGTGTGTGTGTGTGTGTGTGTGTGTGTGTGTGTGTGTGTATACATATATATACATATATATAACAACAAATCATTTTATGAGTCCAACGCATCTTGATCGATTGATCATCCTCCATCCCTACCAGCTCAGCACCTCCCCTCAATTTTCCCAGTTCCAATAATGATTTGTTTAAGATTTTTATTTTTCAGATTCCAGAAGAGATTCAGCACTGATGCATTCTAACATTCATCCTGCTTGACTTGGAAGTTTTCCTTTACTTCTGCTGTCAGCAGTTACCCAAGTCCATTCTAAAAGATGACTCTAATCCTTCCAGAATCTCTCGGTGGCATACAATGTGCTTGCTTCATAGTCCAATTTCTTTTTCATTCCAGGCCAGTCATCCGGCCTCACAATTTTCCCCAACACACACACACACACACACACACACACACACACACTCCTTACACCTTGAATTGCTAAGGTCTTGCATCAGTTCTTTAGACAAATAAAACACACATGTTCATGTGCATGTACATACACATGAAAATGAGAAACTATTTTAAGGAGCTGGGTTTATACCATTATGAGGACTGGCAGATCTGCCTGAAATTTGGAGAGCAGTTCTGGCAGGCTGGAAACTCAGACAAGACTGGATGCCTCATAGTTGAGGCCAATGACTTTGTTTTCAGAAAGTCTTGCATTTTGCTCAGGATTTGCGCATACTCTAGATTACATACTGGCTGTACTCTAGAATCATTTCCCTTCTTTAACATCAATAGGTTATAGTTGCTAATTGCATTGCTAGAATATCTTAATGGCAGCACTTAGGTTATAGATCAGTGATGCTTTAAAGAACTGGGAAATAGAACTCGGACTAGGTAACACAGAAACTTTCAGGCTAGTAGATATGCCGTGGACTCCTGGCTTGTCAAGTGTCTTACCATTTGTTTTCTGGTCAGTGTGACTTGTCTTTGTACTTGTCTGTCACATCATATTGTGCTTAAGTCTGGAAGGTAAACTCAGTGAAAGTATAACTATATCTCTCTGTGCACCTTAATAACCACAGTAATGACCAGTGCTAAATAAGTGTAAGGCAAACATCTAAAAGAAAGCCTGCTTGTCCACAAATAACTGACATTATGGTTCATGTGGTATCCTTCCAAGTATTTGGAACCAGGAAAGCATAGATATATGGAAAATTACATACATTTGCCATCTTTAAAATCACTTTCTACCCAACACAGGTTTTTTAATCCTCTTTTTACTTTTACCATGTTGTCCAACCATTTGTTGGTATTTTTTCTTCCATCTGGGCTTCCTGTAAATATATAGCCACACCTTGCCTGGCCTTGCCCTGGATCACTGTAACACATGCCTCTGTGTGTTTTCAATGACCTTCGCTTACTAGTCTCAAATGTTGAGTTGCCTTTTTCCCTATCAATGCAATAAAGTCATCCTTCTTTGCTAGTTGTGCTTGGGGTAGGGGTGGGGAGTGGATATGGTTTGCAGAGAGAGTAAAATAAGTAAAGAAATTCCAAACTGTAATAGCATGGATCACTCCAACAAGCTACAGGCTAACCCTCACAAATACTCTGAAAGAACCAAGAAACCAACCCCTATACTGACTAGAGTTCCACGGTCCATGCAGGCCCCTCCCCCGCCCGCAGCCCCACCCTCCCATACTCCCATCCCTTGCACCCTCCTCCCAAAAGAAAGCCTTACTTAACCAAACACATAGTAAATGTTTGAAATAAGAAGGGAAAAGGAAGTAGGTTAGTTTGTATATCATTGAAAGTGGTGAAACAAGGAAATGGGCTGGTTTATCTTGTTTAATTTATGTCCAAATTACTAGATACACACAAACCTTATCAAAAGTATAGTAGAGAGGCTAGATGAATCCTTTTTCTCCCATTTTGCAGGACTATTGCAACTACACAGGGTCTCTTAACTTTGCATTAAATGGGCACAAATGTCTGAAGTATATGATAATAAGAACTGGCACCCCTAAATCTATACTACCCTCATTCTAGTGCTTTCACATCTATTTCTCTGCTCTACCTCTTAGTATGAACTCAACAGAACTTTACTTTCATGTTTATCTTGTTTTTTGACCTACACAAAATGCCACAGTTAAAAAAACATTAAACTTAAAAATTATCAGGTTTATCAGCTCAAACACCTCATGTCCCACAATAGATAAGTGGATCAAAAAATGTGGTACATATACACAATGGAATTTTACTCATCCATTAGAAAGAATAATATTATGTCATTTGCAGGGAAACAGTTGGATCTAAAACAAATCGTGTTAAGTGAGGTAAGCCAAGCTCAAAGAGACAAATGGTGCATGTTATCTATCATATGTGGAAGCTAGCTCTAAAATATAACTGGACATGATAACCTATACAAGACTTCAGGCATTCACACACAAATAGACTAAAGGAGGATGCCCTTAGGGAAGTATATACAAATACATATATATGCTATATATATATATATATATACATACTGTATAGTATATATATATGATATATATGTATCTATAGTATATATGTTATATATATTATATATACCATAGATAGATATGTATTTATATTTTAAATGAGGGTGCTTGTCTTTTTTTTCATTATTCCCATCATGTCTGAAGACCCTGTGGGTATCCTGCAGCGATCTACTACTTCTGAATTTTGTTAGTGTGAGGGAGTCACATTATCTTTTTGCCCATCTGTTTCCTGATCTATAATGCCGGAATAATTCATTGAGTTCACAAGAGATTATGGTTAAGAATCAAAGTGAGACATCATATATAATAATAGTCGGCTTTGCATTACTATAATGAAATACTTGGAACAACGAACCTATTAAAAAAAAGAAAGCTTCACTCTGGATCACAGTTCTGGAAGTCCCAAGTCCAAAATCACATGGTCCCATTCTTTGGACTCTGGCCAGGGCAGCACATCGTGAAAATATAGCAAAGCAAAACCATTTATGTCATAAGCAAAGAGGCAAAGAGAATAAGTAGATGGGAGAGAGAGGGCCAGGCCTTCTGCCTTCACATTCTCAAGTCTTCCCACGGAGGCTCCACCTCTTAAAGGTCCCCACCACCTCCAAATACAGACACTCTGGAGGCTGAGACTTTTACATACATCTTGGGAGACATTCAACATCCAAACAACAGCAGCATATATGTGTTTAATATTACAGATTCCCCAAAGAATTGTATTCCCTCTCTGTTTAGAGTAACCCTAAGAACTAGGAGACAGCAAGACTGGCAGCAAATTCCAGTTCATGAACT